AGTTTTGTTAGGTAACGTCGCCTTATTTTGTGCCGAAGTGATTGCTCTCCATAACTTTACCTGGATCTTATGCAGAACTTAGACTAGAAGACGCACTTGAAAGTTCAACAAGAGGTTGAGCTGTAGGAATATCATCTTTCAGTGCAGGGTGGAATGAACTAAGGTGAGTGTTGAGGCTTCAGAAGTAAATTTGTTGAAGTCCAACTTTATGCCAGACGGCCCAGATATAAGAAACGGTTCCAGGAGATGAAGCATAGATGTCCAAACACAGATAGGTGAGAACACGCTTATATGTGCACACTTACGCAGTTATATGCACACACACACACACACACACACACACACACACACACACACACACACACACACACACACACACACACCACACGCTTATTTATTTGTCTTTGTGTGTGTGTAGAAGGAGTGAGAGACGAGGAAGGTAATGAGAGAGAAGAGGGTAAACTGGAGAGAAAGGAGGGAGCGAGAACTAAGTAGAAAGAAAAAGAGAATGAAGAAAGAATGATAATAACAGGCGCCGGACTGGCAGATAGTCGGAGAAAAGAACTTTTATGACGAAAAAAATAATAATGATATTTTCTGCCTCCATAATGAGCCACTTCGCTCAGATATCCCATTTTTGCTGGAGTGAAATAACTACAAAGAATCTTGTCTTACACGTTAAAGATATATTATCATTTCCCAGTTCTAGTTTTTCTTTGGCATTGATATATTTGTTCGTTGAAGTCCACCCAAAGTCTAAATGATACACACCTAAACGTTTTCGTAATACACAGAGAAATCATATTATCGTGATATATCAATGAACAAATACCTCGGGAGCCGTGATGAGGATTCGAACCTATGCACTGAAGGTTCCCAGATGCACGCTCTAGTCAACTGCGCCACGACATGGTAAAGAGAATTGCAATCAGGAGGTACTACTTCACCCACAAGGATCCCGAGGCTTTATCACGGCCACTGTGGATTTGTTCAGTTTTCCTAATCATTATCGTCACTTTCTCCAGATTTCCAAAAGTTATAGATGAGTTCTTTATCTCAGAATTACAAAAGGAACAGCAAGAACGCCGAAACTGCATTATTTACAGAAAAGTTTGTTAATTAGCGAGTTATTAGTGTTGCTGTATTAACGAGCAGGTCAGAACAGCTAATTAACAAATCCACAAGGGTTGTGACGAGGATTCGAACCTACGTCCGAGAGCACGGTGTGCTCTCGGACTTAATGAAGTGTGGGCACAACAGCTACTCTAGGGTGAGAATGATGGAGGTAGAGGAGAGGTTTGCCTGGATGGAAGGAAGTCTTAAGTGTCCACTGGTGTCTTGAGGAGAGATAAGATTCTAGGTTCTCATGGCAAGAATCTTACATCAAAAAATCATTGCCCTAAATATGCTAAATAAAGCAAATAGGACACTAGGATTTATTTATAGAAGCCTTAGCAATAAATCTAATGTTACTCTCACACCTTATCTTGCCGTGATTAAGCCTTATTTAGGTAATAAGGCTGCCCGAAACGCTTTGCGTAATAGTGGCTTTAGGCATTGTATGCACTAGCTCTATCTATAAATCCATCAACTCTGTATCTTACCTTGTATGTATGTACCTTACCTGAATAAAAAATTTAATTTAATTTTAATTTAATACAGTTGAGGTTTGGTTTCCGCACTACAGGAAGGGCATTAATTTACTTCAGCACGTGCAGAGAAAAATGACAAAGGAAAATATTAACTTTCCCAGGAAATATTAACTTTCCAAATAAAGAAAATTTAAAAAGCTAAATTTACATTCACTAGAGAGACGAAGAGTAGGGAGCGACATGAATACTGTAAACAAACGGGTAATTGTCTATAGTATAGGGATATAAATAAGGTTTTAAATATATCAATACAAAATAGAACACTAAACAATATATATGATTTGGATAAGCAGGCGATGAGTCACAATAACGTTGCTAAAGTATGTTGACCAGACCACACACTAGAAGGTGAAGGGACGACGACATTTCGGTCCGTCCTGGACCATTCTCAAGTCGATTGTGTAATCGACTTGAGAATGGTCCAGGACGGACCGAAACGTCGTCGTCCCTTCACCTTCTAGTGTATGGTCTGGTCAACATGATTTGGATAAATTTACATTGAGGAAACACTTGGGTAAATGCTGGTTGTGAAGCAGGGTTGTAGAGCCCACATTACTGGGAAACAAAATATATGCAGGGTTGTTTTAAGCGTAGGTTAGACATATATGAGTGAGTTTGGGAGTATATAAATACGAGAGGCTTCGGTTAGGCCAGTAGGCCTCCTGCAGTTTCCGTTATTCTCATGTTTTAATTGGTTATTCTAATCCGTTACCTGTAACGCGACGCCAACGAATATGTCAGAGCTCTTCCAAGCGATATCTTGCTTGACCAAAATAACGCATCCAAATTGAGATGCAAAGAGATGTCAACCTTATTGCAAAAGTTAATGTATATCTTATCATCAATAAAGTATTCATTGCGAGTTATTTGCGTTGGTTGTGGGTGAGTAGGTCTCAACGAGGTCCAGTAATTTGTTGATGGACTGCGATATCGTGACAGCGTGAGTGAGTGTGTGCGTGTGTGTGTATTCACCTAGTTGTGCTTGCGGGGGTTGAGCTCTCCTCTTTCGGCCCGCCTCTCAACTGTCAATCAACTGTTACTAAGTACTAACTAACTAATAATGTTTTTCTTTACACACACACACACACACACACACACACACACACACACACACACACACACACACACACACACACACACACACACACACACACACACATACACACATACAAACATACAAATGGTTGGTTGACAAATGGAATGCATTAGGCAGTGATGTGGTGGAGGCTGACTCCATACACAGTTTCAAGTGTAGATATGATAGAGTCCAATAGGCGCAGGAATTTGTACACCTGTTGATTGACGGTTGAGAGGCGGGACCAAAGAGCCAGAGCTCATCCCCCGCAAGCACAATTAGGTAAGTACAGTTAGGTGAGTACACCCAGGAAGCAGCCCGTAGCAGCTGTCTAACTCCCAGGTACCTATTTCCGGCTAGGTAACAGGGGCATCAGGGGAGGGGATGGGTTGGTTGGTGGGAGATGAGGAGGCTGGAAGGGCGTGCAAGGGGTTGATCGTCCTGGGTGAGATTTACATGTTCATTACCTTGACGGATGGGGTCGTTACCTTTACTCGGGTCACGCCTGGGTGGCACTACCAGGCACTGTGGCACTGTTGATGGTGCCAGTCACTGTGTCACTGTCGATGAGGCCAGTCACTGTGTCACTGTCGGTGATGATGCCAGTCACTGTGGTTTTATCCCAAATATGTTATCAATTGTTAGCTAGCAAAACCGTTATCAGGGAATGATTAACAGTATATGTACAGATATCACGGCAGCAGAATGCCTCAACATAGGGGAGATTTTAACGAGGGCAAGATGACCTAGCATGAAGGCGATGAGTCACAATAACGTGGCTAAAGTATGTTGACCAGACCACACACTAGAAGGTGAAGGGACGACGACGTTTCAGTCCGTCCTGGACCATTCTCAAGTCGATTGTCTTGAGAATGGTCCAGGACGGACCGAAACGTCGTCATCCCTTCACCTTCTAGTGTGTGGTCTGGTCAACTCGAGCTGAAGGTTTCTTCAGCTGTCGAGAGTCGACTACCTTTCTCAGTGTAGGGTATTAGTGAAGGGGTCAACCCATCTTGAGGGGATAGTACTTGTAGTAGCTGTTTGATCGGAAGTACCAGCTTTCTGTGTGTTTAAATTTTAGGAAGTCAGGGGAAAATAAAGCTAAAAGATAATAGGCTTAGTAGAACACATGTATGTTCAATATTAGACCTAAGATAGCTTGAATTAGGACTAAGATTCCTAGGAGATGTTGGGTTAGGTTCTGTATTTATGTTTCCGTTAAAAATGGTTTCCCACTTCGTGTGTGGTCCAGTGGTGGACCGGGTGTGTGGTCCAGTGGTTGACCGAGTGTGTGGTCCACCACTGGACCACACACCAGGTCCACTTGTTCATTTGATGCATCACGCTATTGTGATTTCTGTGTGTAATAATCTAAGAGTGTTTCTTTCTCTCGGGATAAAGTCTGTTGAACCACAGAGCAACATCCTTTCCGGTTTTTAGGATTCGGGTCGAGATTATGTATCTTAACTCCGCGGTTATATGATTGTTGTTTATTATACGCCACTAGTGACCTCGTTATTATGATGACAGAACTATCTGTCAATTAGGAATTGTGTCTCAAATCTCCCCTTCTCCACCTCCTCCAAACCCGTCCAAACTTATTCTTATTCTGAAAGAAAACAAATATGTTTTTAACTAAAGAAATCCTGTTGAAGTTGGTAAATGTCATGCATCTAAATGCCTTTTTTGGCAGCTACTAGTGTAAGTTATGTCATTATATGCACTTTGTACATTATATCGCACTGTCGGTGATGATGCCAGTCACTGTGGTTTTATCCCAAATATGTTATCATTGTTAGCTAGCAAAACCGTTATCAGGGAATGATTAACAGTATATGTACAGATATCACGGCAGCAGAATGCCTCAAGGTAGGGGAGATTTTAACGAGGGCAAGATGACCTAGCATGAAGGCGATGAAAACATCTAACGTGGCTAAAGTATGTTGACCAGACCACACACTAGAAGGTGAAGGGACGACGACGTTTTCAGTCCGTCCTTATTTCATTCTCAAGTCGCTTGTGCTTGAAATGGTCCAGGACATTTACCGTCGACGTCGTCGTCACTTGGCCTTCTAGTGTGTGGTCTGGTCAACTCGAGCTGAAGGTTTGTTCAGCTGTCGAGAGTCGCTACCTTTCTCAGGTAGGGTATTAGTGAAGGGGTCAACCATCTTGAGGGGATAGTACTTGAAGTAGCTGCTTGATCGGAAGTACCAGCTTTCTGTGTGTTTAAATTTTATGGAGTCAGGGGAAAATAAAGCTAAAAGACAATAGGCTTAGTAGAACACATGCACGCCCCCCGCCACACCCGGCTCCTGGCCGGGTGTGGCGGGGGGCGTGCACCTGGCCGGGTGTGGCGGGGGGCGTGCACCTGGCCGGGTGTGGCGGGGGGCGTGCACCTGGCCGGGTGTGGCGAGGGGCGTGCTCCTGGCCGGGTGTGGCGGGGGGCGTGCTCCTGGCCGGTGTGGCGGGGTGTGGCGGGGGGCGTGCACCTGGCCGGGTGTGGGGGGGGTCGTGCTCCTGGCCGGGTGTGGGGGCGGCCGTGCTCCTGGCCGGGTGTGGCGGGGGGCGTGCACCTGGCCGGGTGTGGCGGGGGGGGAGGCGTGCTCCTGGCCGGGTGTGGCGAGGGGCGTGCACCTGGCCGGGTGTGGCGGGGGCGGCCGTGCACCTGGCCGGGTGTGGCGGGGGGGCGTGCACCTGGCCGGGTGTGGCGGGGGGCGTGCTCCTGGCCGGGTGTGGCGAGGGGCGTGCTCCTGGCCGGGTGTGGCGGGGGGGGCGTGCACCTGGCCGGGTGTGGCAGGGGGCGTGCACCTGGCCGGGTGTGGGGGCGGCCGTGCTCCTGGCCGGGTGTGGCGGGGGGCGTGCACCTGGCCGGGTGTGGCGGCGGGCGTGCTTCTGGCCGGGTGTGGGGGCGGCCGTGCTCCTGGCCGCCCGTGCTCCATGTTCCCGTCGGTACAACAGCATAAAAGGAAACTCGCTCACGAGAATTTGCATCATCATACCCTCCTACCCTCCCTCCATCTACCCCTATAGATACCCCTCCCTCTTCCCCCCCTCACTATTTACCCCTCCCCTTCCACCTCACTATCACCATATATCCCCCCTCCCGTCTATCCCATCTCTAGCACAACCCCACCCTTCCGCGTTCTCCAATCGTGACTTATGCCAATCATTGTTTACTTTGCTCTGCACAAGGAACTTATAACACCAATAATGTTTTGAATGAAACATTCCTAATCTTTACCTATTAATAGACGAACAATATTCTGGTTATTAATATTATTAATATTTTTTCCTCCAATATTTGGTTTCTAAACTATTGGTTAAGATTGCCGTCTTATATTGACTACAGACTATAAATTCTGAGCTTCTAACTGAAGCTGGTCAGTATTGTAATATCCTCGTTGGTGCTTGAACTTTGACCCGGTGGGAATCTTTAGTTATAAACACTGTTCTTGTACTTGACAGTGAGATTTCGCCTGTTTGTACAGTGAGATCTCAAATAACCCCAAATTCCGCGTTATTCTCTCTCTCTCTCTCTCTCTCTCTCTCTCTCTCTCTCTCTCTCTCTCTCTCTCTCTCTCTCTCTCTCTCTCTCTCTCTCTCTCTCTCTCTCTCTCTCTCTCTCTCTCTCTCTCTCTCTCTCTCTCTCTCTCTCTCTCTCTCTCTCTCTCTCTCTCTCTCTCTCTCTCTCTCTCTCTCTCTCTCTCTCTCTCTCTCTCTCTCTCTCTCTCTCTCTCTCTCTCTCTCTCTCTCTCTCTCTCTCCTTTACTCCTTCCCCACACCCTCAAATCTCTCCGCTGACTACAAAGCTCTTCTAAACCATATTCCATTTCTGTTACGCTTTATCGCGCTATTTCTTTAGGTAACTGGAATTTTGAACTTCTCTTTGTCTTACCCCTCGTCCATTCACAGCCCCAAAAGTCTCTTCCGGCGTTCAGAATTATGCAGAACACCCTAAATGTCTCCTGGTGGACCTACAGCTCGGCGGAGAGGAAAATTGGTCATACATAATGGAGGACCCTCGGTTCGACTCCGCCCACCGCGTCAAGCCCCGTCCCCGCCACCACTAGCAAGGAAACCTGGATTTTGTTTAGTGAGAGCCTTTTCGTGAAGGGAAGCCTGTGCTTAAAGAAGACTTCGTTCCAAAGAGGGGGAAAAACATTTTTGCTGTTTTGGTATTGGGCTTCAGACCTGTCAACCAGGAGGCTACTGAGGCTACCATAAGAACGAGTAGACAGCTCAGTACAAGCCACTTGGGCCTTCAATCCCCAACCGTCCAATTGGTTGAGCACCATGACTTCCCTCAATCATATCCCAAATCCTTAGCCTCATATCCCGTCCAAGCGCTATATTGTCGTAACGACTTAACGTTCTTTCCTGATAATTAACTTTTGTTCTGAATATAATCGAGGACTAAAATGTATATACACTGCAGAATACACCTTTCTGTTTATATGTCGACCTGTATTTTTTACTTAGGTTACACTTTAGGGGAAGAGAATACGAACAGTTGTACTTAGGGATCCTTCCTATATTAAGAGTGGACTATATTCATACGGCAAGCTATTCCTATAAGAAAATATTACGATTGCCTTAATTCTTGAGGGTTTTGTGGTTAAAAGATTATTATTATTTGAATAGAAACAAGATAATGTAAAGCAATTGTCAGGGGAAAGCACTAAGCCACTACGACTGTATGGCACTTGGTAGGAATATGAGGATAAAGATTTAGGATAGGACGGAGGAAAGAAATGGTGCTCATCCACATGAACGGTCGGGGATTGAACGCCGACCTGTAAGAAGCAAGACCGTCGCTCTACTCTCCAGTTCAAGTGGTTGGGTTGAATAGAAACAAGAATTAAATAAGTAGTTGTTATTGGAAGAGATTTCATAATAAAGGTGAGGTTGTAATTATGAGTTGGATTAAGCCTAAACGAGTGCTCGTGTGTTAACATTTCCAGCTTTGTTCATATTTGTTGCTTGGAGCATTATTTTTTTGGAAGAGCATACGAGCGAAGTGGTTGCCATGAGCGTACAATGCGCCAGTCTCGTTATATCTGAATTTTTGGCGAGCATTTTTGCATCAGATTAAAATTTTGCCTTCAAGTAAGAAATCAACCCGTTCTCATGATTTGATTTGCGTCAAATTTGAAGTGGTTTTGCTTAACCAGAAGCGTTCGAAACTATGCTCTCGACTTAACCTGTCGAGGCAGATGTAGACTAGTCCGATAAAGACACAAAGTTTGAGCACGAATTTTATCAACATTTCTTATGTTTTTCAATTTAAAAGGAAGTTGAAAAACGGGGCAGTAGATGTGGTGTATGTTGGCAGTTTTGGCTTGGTCTTGAGGACGGTTGGACTTACTTCAGTGTAAGTTGCTGACTGAGAGTGTTTGTTGTGTAGCGCTTTGACTAAACCATGTTTCAAAGAGAAGTACTCCATAAAATAATTATCAATTGATAGACAGTTCTGTGTGCACATCTCACTCATGCATCAGAGACCTTAGAATATACAAAGACCTGTATATTCTAGTTAACATAAACCCGTGACTTGATTCTTTGTGCGTTCCATTTACTGCTCACAATAACATTTGGCATAGCGCTCTTTCACATAGAGGAACACAATGAGTAAGTCCAAGAGGAACCCAATGAGTAAGTCCAAGAGGAGCACAATGAATAAGTCCTAGAGGAACACAATGAAAATTAACCCATTGAGAAAGACCAGTAACAAGCAACAGAGCACGAGGAGCCCATTGATTGAGAAGAAGTTTAATTTCCTATGTTTGGACTCCATATTATTTCTTCTTATCTGTATTTTCCCTTCGTGTCCGAGTCAATTCCTGCTGAGATGGGAGTATTTTCGACGGTTTATATTTAATTTCTTTCCATAGTACGAGCTTATTTGTTCTTGTAGAATACGTAATTATCTTCCATTTTCCAAGAGCAGGAGAGAATAAAGAAATTTAAAAATTTTGCCTTACACAGCGAGTAATTATCTTTTAAGATCACTTCAGGATTTCTTAGTCTCACGCAAACTTGTAAATGATTGATGTGGAGCTTGTCAAGCGAGTACAGGCTGGCGGGACCCATCTCTCTAACTCTGACCTCCTAGGATGATCAGGTCTCTTGCTTACCTCGTAGGATGCTCACGTCTCTCCCTGACCTCGTAGGATGCTCACATCTCTCACTCTGACCTTGTAGGATGCTCACGCCGCATGTGTTTCGAATGAAAAATGCTATGTACATATATTTGGTTATTTCCCGTGGGCTACATGTGTCTGGTCCGCCACTTGGAACCTGAGGGCGGCGTGTCACCTTACTGTTCATTACTCAGTATTTGCCAACACCAGGCTGGCCGCACTCCATCACGGCTCGGGACAATCTCTCTCCGCTATTTGTACTTCATCAAAGGCTATTTATTTTCGTGTGCTGCCAAGCTATCTGCATACAGATTGAACAGTCGGAACGACGCCACCGTCGACGCCACCGTCAGTTGCTCCAAACAAACACATTCTCGGTACTGTTTGCTGTCTCCCGGGGCTCCGTCTCCCCCGCGCTTGTGTGCTCTCCTCAACCCGGCGTGTGTACCAACTATCGCATGGGAGGTATATCGTTAAATTGTCTTGTTTCTTGGGGTTTATATTTTCGCCTGAAATTTTCTAAGGGGAGGGGAGTGAGGGGATATAGGTGATGGGGGTGTCTGGGCTGGAGAGGGGGCAGGCTAGAAAGGGGGCAGGCTAGAGAGGGGGCAGGCTAGAGAGGGGCGGGCTGGAGAGGGGGGCGGGCTGGAGAAAGGGCGCGGGCTCGGTAGGGCTCATTGAGGTCCCTGGTGCTGTGAGTTGTAGAGGTGGTTGTTGAATTCAGGAGTGATGTATACTGGAGTGACGGGAAATCCAGGCTGGAGTGCTGGAAGACTCGGGGCTGGAGTGCTGGAAGATCCAGGGCTGGAGTGCTGGAAGATCCGGGCTGGAGTGCTGGAAGACCCGGGCTGGAGTGCTGGAAGACCCGGGGCTGGAGTGCTGGAAGACCCGGGGCTGGAGTGCTGGAAGACCCGGGCTGGAGTGCTGGAAGACCCGGGCTGGAGTGCTGGAAGACCCGGGGCTGGAGTGCTGGAAGACCCGGGCTGGAGTGCTGGAAGACCCGGGCTGGAGTGCTGGAAGACCCGGGGCTGGAGTGCTGGAAGACCCGGGCTGGAGTGCTGGAAGACCCGGGGCTGGAGTGCTGGAAGACCCGGGCTGGAGTGCTGGAAGACCCGGGGCTGGCGTCCTGGAAGACCCGGGGCTGGAGTCCTGGAAGACCCGGGGCTGGAGTGCTGGAAGACCCGGACTGGAGTGCTGGAAGACCCGGGCCTGGAGTCCTGGAAGACCCGGGGCTGGAGTCCTGGAAGACCTGGGGCTGGAGTGAAGCTCTCGGTGCTCTTCTAACTTTTTTTTTAACCTTCACGAAAGTTTGCGGGTCTTATGCGTTTTTATGATTATTATTCATGAAAGAGGAACAGCCGTGACAAGCTTGGCTGTGATGGTGATGAGCGCCGTCATCACCACCCATGTGATGAAGTGAGGAGGCAGGAAGAGTAAGGATAGATAAGGATAGGCAAATATAACTTAAATTTGATTGGAGAGGAAAATTAATATGCGGAATTTGCTGAAAAGTTACATGCTGGAAAATGACAAGAGAGCAGTGTATAGTCTCCAAGACACTGGGAAGAAAAGATTGTGCACAAGACACGTGAAGAAAATGTTATAGGTTAAGGAAAAAAACGAGAGAGATAGAGTAGAGAAAAATAAGAAGGAAAAAAAGCTTCTCTTTAAAAAGGACACTTGAGGTCTGTAATACAAGCAGTGAGCAAATGTCAACGTTGCCATTAGTGACCTTCTACATTTAAAGTCATTCTAAAGCATCAAAAAGTTACATCAAACGTAATCCAGTCCAAAAAATT